GCCAGTGTTCCTTGGTTTCTAACCAACAAAGTCTAACACTGATCGATTCATGATTTCAAAAAGTAACTCAACAATCTCCACAATCCGATTGTGAAAGTTATCTTGTGATGAGTATTTGATGTGTACAATACGCACAATCAATGCTTTTGTAAGCTTCATAAAACTGATTTTACGTATTTGTCAGTTACTCATAGGAAGATCAAACTCACAAAAAAATTCCACACAACTAAACATATTTTCAAATTCAACAGTTGAATGAGATTAGTTTTCTATTGTCTGACAAATCACTGCACTTTTTTCAATAACTAAGTTGAAAACATTCTCTAAGTCACCGAAAGTTGGAAATCGATAAAAAAAAGTTCGTCTCATTTTAAGGAGATAGCTGCTCAGAGTATCATAAACGAACTATAATCAAGTGTCTCACAACCAGTCCATCCCTCAAATAGTAGAGACATGAAGTGATTAGTTTGTGGAAGCATCAAAAAATCATCTTTTTGTTGACACTTTAAAAGACTTGAAGAACGAATTTCGTGAACAGAATATTCGACATCAAAATCGCAAAGAAAGGAAACCTTATGTCATTATTGTATGTATGTTTGACAATGATCAAGTCGAAAGACTGATAATAACTGATTGTTTGTTTTACGTCAATCGTGGAATGACTGAACAATTGTTTTTTCTCTTTTCAAGTTTAACTCTTGTTTTTCAATGAACACTATTCAGTTTGTTGATTTAATTGTCTGAATGTCATAAGCATTTCATCATATAAAAATAAATAGCGCCCTATATTGATTAGTTTTAATGATTAGTCGGTTAAATTATTCAACAATAGTATCGATCATTTTTGATGTTTGTCATTATTCGATGATGGTGTCGACTGGTGTATAATTGAGTGTGTGTGTGTGTGTGTGTGCGAGTTTGCATGATTACTTGCTTATAACATACCTAGATTATTATTATTATTATTGCCTGACTATCAAAACTTAGTGATGCTTCGGTGCATAGGAGAGTTGGCTTACTCGCCTTCTCCAATTCTCTTCTCTTTGCTTGTTCGCATTTCATTATCATGTCCGTCTGTTTTCAATAAACACATGAAATAAACTCATCTTTGAAAACCGTATTCGGTTTCTTATCACCACTGTCGCACAATCGGGGTTACCGAAGTATGATGTAGGGAAATGTGATGGAGGATTTATTTCTTTATATACTTGACCATTTATCCAAACTGGAGTCAAATCTCGGGTCACTAAATTGGTGAGCTGAACATAGAACTTAATGCAATCTGCTGAACTACGTCGGAAATGACACTGTCGAACTCAGTACATTCGATGAATGAACCAACGTATCAGACTCGATGAACAACTAGACACTAAGAATATCTGTTGTTGTGGTGCATCATGACTATACGCTATTAATAATCAACAAAATAAGATAAAATATCTATATAGTACAATTTATTTCGAAATGTTTCACCGGTTTATTTTAGTCCTCAACGAGAACTATTGCAAAAAGACTAAACTACCGGATAATAACTAAATAATGTGAGGATTAAGAATGTTGCTTCTGATGTGACAGTGATCGACTATTCGTTAAATAATACCGTACTAGTAAAAACTAGATGAGTCAAGTTTGCTTGTTACACCATCTACAAATTCGACATGCTTCATAGCCATGTTTTATGCTTAATTTATAAAATATAAAGTTAACGCACAGCTCACAGCACTTGTAAGCAATGCAATTCTTATTTAAATCATGAATCGATCATTGGTAGACTACCATTAGAAATCTGGAATCACTGAATGACTGTTTCATCCCAGTCTGAGACTCATCAGTGCTCTCATCCATGAGCTCAACTTCGGTCTCACTCACAAACGCCTAGTTTTTAGAATAATAAATCAACACTCAGTAGTAATAATGTCTTATTTATATTTATCTACGATATTGCACAGCCTCATCCATTGTCTTTATTGGATAACTGTCTCACACTCGACACGGTCAAACTCTTACTAGTCACGACTTCTTACTAAAACCCTAAAACTTTCCCCACTAGTTAGCATATGATAGCTGTTTCATAGTTAGTACGAAACAACCGTCCATTGCTTCCAGGTTTCTAATGGTGGATATCTAACGAATCAGCATGTTAACCAACCTCACCAATCACCACAATCCTATAATGAACATTGTATTCTGTTGTTTTAATCGATAAGATATTTAATACATTAATTTGTTAACTGTTAAGTTTTCTTTTTTGTAACAACTACCAAATTACAGATTTGATTAGAAAAAAATTTTTTTTCATTGAATCTGATAAAACGGAATAAATAAAAATCCAAGAGAGAGTCATACATCTGTTTGAAGTAGAAAAAAAAATAGATTTTAGTTGACCTCTTTTTTAAATAAACTTTTATTATGCCAAATAAATAAAAAAAAATAATCATCATCATCATAAATTCAATTTGTGTCAATGAAGCCAATGAAGCGAAAAAATAAATTTTTTTGTTTTAATTCAATTATCAATAAATTTCATCAGTTCAATAAAGAAAAATTTCAATTCAAGTACTTTTGAATTAATTGATCGATGCATGATTTCAATGAGTAATTTGACAATCTGCGTGATGCAAATACCTGTGCTCACTAGTGACTAATAACTCTGTGAGGAATCATCTCTGAGGTCTAGTGAGAAGTAGTGACTAGTGAAGGTCAACCCTATTCGGGTGTAGACAGTAACTACCAAACGCAAAATATGAGTTTGCGCAAAACTGTTAGACACTAACAGTTAGATACTGAGTAGGTGGTACGCGTAAGACCGAAGGTTCTAGGTTCAAATCCTGCGAGGTGCAGGAGTCGTGGATGCACACTGCTGATGAGTCCCATGCTAGGACTTGGTGTTAGTCTTTCAATACTTCCAGGTTTCTAATGGTGGTCTAACACTCAATGATTCATGATTTCAATAAGTAAATTACTGATAACTTATGTAAAAATTCAAAGATTACTAAATTAGTTTGAAATATTTATGTAAATAAACTGAGATCGAAGTTATTTCTAAAAACAGTTTACGAGAATATTTGGTGGATGTGGGATCCCCAGTTCTGTGGCAGTCCGTATATTGCCGTTCTGTAAGGTTCGTCAGTAAGTATGCTTGAAACTATTAAGGGTTCACCTTAGTCGATATACGAGAACGAGATAATGAACCAGCGTCCCGGTAGGCTACCTTAATCCGTTGACTCGAAACGGCTAAAGAGAAGTCTTGATAAAGCATAGAAAGTATATTCTACAAGCATACAAATTGCGTCTATTGATACATGATAGAAACGTCCTTGGGAGAGTCAAAAAAATAGCACACTAAAATACGCGGCAGCCATTCACAGCCAAGGATTATCCTGGTGGGAAATGAATTCTCAAGATCAACTGATCAGTCCATGCTCGCAAACGTAAAATCAAAAATTAAGGCATTTATCAAGCGAGTTTTGGGGATCTAACGCCCCCAACGCCTTCCTGATAACGGTTAATAGATAACACCCAACGGTATTATACAGTTCAGAAGAGGATTACAAAGAGTTGATTACGTTTATCAAATATTATATATATACATATATATATAATATTTCTGAGCCTTGGATTTTAAATAACATAGTTTTTGATCAGTTGATAATACTTATCATACTATTGTGTAAGATATTGTGTAATAAACTAAACCAGAAGTTTTCAAAAAACAAATTTTATGCTTTATCTGAAATATTTTGTCATGTTGAAACTTTGAAGTTAGAAATAGGGTAATCAGTACGGATGAGCAATCATTTGATGAAGTAGTGAATCTTCATCAACTGAGGTGTTTGAGACATGCATTGTGCACCTCTGCTGGAGATGCTGTCTAATGTAGGAGTAAGTTTGAAGAAAGGTAGGACAAATCAAATCAATATCTGACACTTCTAGACTATATAGTCATTAAGAATCGAACTTATCTATGTTAATAAGTGTAGACTACCTACTTGTTGATATTCACATGACAATCGTAACTATTAGTTAGAGAAAAGGCTGAAAATTATTTGGAATGGCTCAGGTGCATTCATTTTTCATCGTCTCCTGGATTCTAATCTTTTCAATCCCTTGTAATCCGTTTTTGAAAAAATACTTTCTCAAGATTCATTTCACTTGGTTATACTTTCTCAATTCATTTCTTCAATTTTTCATTAAAAAGATTGTTGTGTACTACTGAAATCAAGAAATAATCACACTAAGACCATTGTTAGAAACCTGTTATGAGATTTGTTAGCAGTGCGTATCGACGACTCTTGCTACTCGTAGGATTTGAACTCGGAATCTTCATTCTTGCGCGTGAATGCCTAAGCTGTGTATCACTAGGCTAGTATCCAACGGTGTTGTAGCCTATTTCTGATAGTTCAAAGGATTTTGAGAAGCCTTACCCTTTGTCTTCGGTAGTGACCGCCTATACTCGACAGGTTTGAGCTCCATAGATCACGTCTTCTTACTAGAACGCCGAGAAATTCCTCACGAAGCTAGTCACTAGTAACATTTCTTCTTTCCCTAATCTTTTCGATCAACACTAATACTACTGGAACCTCTTCTCTGACAATTTCATCTGTTTGTGATAATATAGTAGAAGAACTTTAACTAATGTTCATCCATTCAACAACGAACTAAAAGTAACACGAATGACTTTATGAATGATGTGAATGTTACCTCTCAATGCAACAATTGGTTACAGACATGATCGATTAGCGGTTCCAACGCATAAAAATTTACGTGTCAACTTAAGATTTGTGAATTAATATTAGGAGTACAAAAATGTATCACATAAACAGTAGAACAATCGGTCATATCGAGTGCCAATAAGTCAGTAGGAGAACTATGAACTCTTTTCATAAAACTTGAACATTGAACCATTCATATTCTACATAATCATTTGTTTATCTTGTAATTTTAGCAATAATTCTGGATCATCCACATTAATTTCAAGAAAGAAAAACGCCAATGAATTGATGGAGTTTACAACAACCACTGCTACAACCACTACTGCTGCTGAACAACAAGAAGACATCAATCATCAACATCCATCGGATGATAGTCCTGTAGTTAGAACAACTAAAATTGCTGACAAAAAACTTTATCCCACTGTAACAGATGAAAATGTAGAATTACAAAAAAGCATGTTAAATAATTATGTGGATAAAAATACATTATTTTTTAATAAATTCAAAAGAGAACGTCGATTAACTGAGAAACTATCCAAAGGTATTGGTTATCATCTTGGACGAAGACGTCGTCTATTGGAAAGTCGAAGAAGAATGGCAGATTTTGCTTTAGCATTCAGTATATTCGGTATATTAGTAGCATTTCTTGATATTGAATTCATCTCACGATCATTGTATCATAAAGTAAGTTGGGATAACATAGTTTTTTTTCCTTATTATAGATGTCCTTCATCATGATCCTCAGAAATCTTTTGCAAAAATGGTTCTAATTTTGTAATTTTATTGCTGAAATTTTGATTTTTTTTGTGTTTTCGCGCCAATGGACGCCTAGTTGACCTTCAGCTTACGTTTCCCAATCGTAAAATCCTTGACTGTCACTGGCTGACGTGTTATTCTAGTATGCTAGTTTTGTGGCTCTCACAAGGGCGTTTCCATCATTGTATAAATTAGCCTGAATTGTGTGCTTAGCAACCTCCACCTTTCTGGGTGTTTGTAGAATACATTCTTTACGCCTTATCAAGACTTCTTGATCTAGTTAGCGAAGGCCTAGGACAATCGGATCTAGAATAGCCTATCGTGTTACTGCATCATTTTATCTGCGCTCCGTTTATCGACTGAAGTGAACTCGTAATAGTTTCAAGCATATCAGTTCACAAGAATATCAGTATTCATCAGTCTATCAGCGAATAGGTATACTTTATTGGAATTCAGGCAGTAAAATTGATTAGTACGTAAAGTACCCAGTGGATTATCAATAAATCAGAAAACATTGTTACAATTATCGTAGTGTTAGAAGGATAGATAGATAGATGTGTGGACAGATAGATATAGATAGATAGATAGATAGATAGATAGATAGATAGATAGATAGATAGATAGATAGATAGATAGATAGATAGATAGATAGATAGATAGATAGATAGATAGATAGAAGATAGATAGATAGATAGATAGATAGATAGATAGATAGATAGATAGATAGATAGATAGATAGATAGATAGATAGATAGATAGATAGATAGATAGATAGATAGATAGATAGATATCTATCTATCTATCTATCTATCTATCTATCTATCTATCTATCTATCTATCTATCTATCTATCTATCTATCTATCTATCTATCTATCTATCTATCTATCTATCTATCTATCTATCTATCTATCTATCTATCTATCTATCTATCTATCTATCTATCTATCTATCTATCTATCTATCTATCTATCTATCTATATATCTGTCACACTATCTATCTAACTATCCTTCTAACCTACGATAATTGTAACAATGTTTTCTGATTTATTGATAATCCACTGGGTACTTTACGTACTAATCAATTTTACTGCCTGAATTCCAAATAAAGTATACCTATTCGCTGATAGACTGATGAATACTGATATTCTTGTGAACTGATATGCTTGAAACTATTACGAGTTCACTTCAGTCGATAAACGGAACGCAGATAAATGATGCAGTAACACGATAGGCTATTCTAATTCGATTGTCCTAGGCCGTCGTTAACTAGATCAAGAAGTCTTGATAAGGCGTAAAGAATGTATTCTACAGACACCCAGAAAGGAAGACGTTGCTACGCACACAACTAAAGCTTATTTATACAGTGATAGAAACGACCTTGTGAGAGCCACAAAACTAGCATACTAGAACAACACGTCAACCAATGGCAGTCAAGGATTTTCCGATTGGGAAACATAATCGGAAGGTCAACTAGGCGTCCATTGGCGCGAAAACAAAAAAATCAAAATTTCAGCAATAAAATTACAAAATTAGGACAATTTTTGCAAGTGATTTCTGAGGATCATGATGAAGGACATCTATTATAAGGAAAAAAAATATTTTATCCCAGCTTACTTTATGATACAATGAACGAGAGATGAATTCAATATCAAGAAATGCCACTAATATACCGAATATACTGAATGCTAAAGCAAAATCTGCCATTCTTCTTCGACTTTCCAATAGACGACGTCTTCGTCCAAGATGATAACCAATACCTTTGGATAGTTTCTCAGTTAATCGACGTTCTCTTTTGAATTTATTAAAAAATAATGTATTTTTATCCACATAATTATTTAACATGCTTTTTTGTAATTCTACATTTTCATCTGTTACAGCGGGATAAAGTTTTTTGTCAGTAATTTTAGTTGTTCTAACGACGGGACTATCATCCAATGGATGTTGATGATTGATGTCTTCTTGTTGTTCAGCAGTAGTAGTAGTAGTAGCAGTGGTTGTTGTAAACTCCATCAATTCATTGGCGTTTTTCTTTCTTGATATTAGTGTGGATGATCCAGAATTATTGCTAAAATTACAATATAAACAAACGATTATGTAGGAATACGAATGATTCAATGTTCAAATTTTATGAAAAGAGTTTGCAGTTCTCTTACTGACTTAATGACATATATAGTTTAGAGTTTTGGCGCTCGATATGACAGATCCTTCTATGGATTCGTCTAGTAAACTGTTTATGTGATACATTGTGCATAGTTAAGAGTAATTAACATACTTTAAGTTCACACGTACATCCGTAAGCATAGAAATAGCTAATCGATCATGGCTGTATCCAACTGTCTCATTAATAAGTAACGTTAACACCATTTATAAAGTTATTAGCGTTACTCTTAGTTCGTTGTTGAATGGATGAACATTAGTTAAAGTTCTCCTACCATATTAGCACAAACAGAAGAAATTGTCAGAGAAAATCATATACATTAGTAGAGGTACTAGTAGTATTAGTGTTAATCGAAAAGATTAAGGAAAGAAGAAATGTTACTAGTGACTAGCTTCGTGAGGAATTTCTCGGAGTTCTAGTAAGAAGACGTGATCAATGGAGTTCATAACCTGTCGAGTGTAGGCGGTCACTACCGAAGACAAAGGGTAAGGCTGCTCAAAATCCACTGATCGATCAGAAATAGGCTATAACACCTTTGAATACTAGCTCAGTGGTACAAAGTTTAGGCATTCATGAGCAAGAATGAAGGTCCAGAGTTCATATCCTGCGAGTAGCAGGAGTCGTCGATACGCGCTGCTAAAAAATCTCATAACAGGTTTCTAACGATGGTCCTAGTGTGATTACTTCTTGATTTCAGTAGTACACAACAATCTTTATAATGAAAAATTGAAGAAATGACTTGAGAAAGTATAACCAAGTGAAATAAATCTTGAGATAGTATTTTCAAAAACGGATAAAAAGGAATTTAAAAGATTAGAATCCAGGGGACGACGAAAAATGAATGCACTTAAGCCATTTCAAACAATTTTCACCCTTTTTTCTAACTAATAGTTACGATTGTCATGCGAACCACAAGCCGGTAGTTTACACTTATTAACATGGTTAAGTTCGATTCTTAGCGACTGTATAGACTAGAAGTGTCAGATTTCGATTTGATTTGCCCTATCTTTTTTCAAACTTACTCCTACACCAGACAGCATCTACGACAGAGGTAGTCCATAGTTAAAGCGTGCACAATGCATGTCTCAAACACCTCAGTTGATGAAGATTCACTACTTCATTAAATGATTTCTTATGCGTACTTATTACACTATTTCTAACTTCAAAGTATCACCATGACAAAATAATTCAGATAAAGCATAAAATTCGTTTTTTTTAAACTTCTGATTTAGTTTATTACACATTATCTTACATAATACTATGATAAGTATTATAGACTGATCAAAAACTATTTTATTTAAATCCAAGACTCAGAAATATTATATATAAATATATATAATATATATATATATATATATATATATATAAAGTATTTGATAAACGTAATCAATGCCTTGTAATCCTGTTCTGAACTGTATAACACCGTTGGGTGTTATCTAGTAAGAGTTATGAGGAAGGTGTTGGGGAGGTTGGATCTCAAGAACTCGCTTGAGAAATTAATTATGGATTTCACGTTTGCCAGCATGGGCTGATCGGTCGACCTTGAGATCACATTTTCCACTAGAAAAATCCTTGACTGTGATTGGCTGCTGTGCATTTTGCTGTGCTATTTTTGTGACGTATAAATAGATGTATCAATAGACGCAATTTGTATGCTTCTAGAATATACTTTCTATGCTTTATCAAGACTTCTCTTTAGCCTTTTTGAGTCAACGGATCAAAGTAGCACACCTGGACGCTGGTTCATTGTCTCGTTCGCGTTTATTGACTAAGATGAACCCGTAATAGTTTCAAGCATACTTACTGAAGAACCTTACAGAAAGGCAATATACGGAGTGCCACAAAACTGGTGATCCCACATCCCCCACATATTCTCTTAAAATGTATTTAGAAATAACTTCCATCTCAGTTTATTTACATAAATATTTCAAACTAATTTAGTAATCTTTGAATTTTTACATAAGTTATCAGTAATTACTCATTGAAATCATGAATCGATAAGTGTTAGATCACCATTATAAACCTGGAAGCACTGAAAGACTAACACCAAGTCCTGGCATCGGACTTATCATCAGTGTGAATCCACGACTCCTGCACCTCACAGGAATCGAACCTATGACCTTCGGTCTTACACGCGAACGTCCAACCTCTGGATCATCTAGTCAGTATCTAACGATGTTAGTGTCTGACAGTTTTGCGCAAACTCATATTCTGTCTTTGGTAGTTACCGTGTACACCCGAATAGGGTTGACCTTCACTAGTCACTACTTCTCACTAGACCTCAGAGATGATTTCTCACGGAGCTATTAGTCACTAGTGAGCACAAGTAATAGCATCACGTAGATTGTCAAATTACTCATTGAAATCATGCATCGATCAATTAATTCAAAAGTACTTGAATTGAAATTTTTCCTTATTGAACTGATGAAATGTATTGATAATTGAATTAAAACAAAAAAATTTATTTTTTCGCTTCATTGGCTTCATTGACACAAATTGAATTTATGATGATGATGATGATTATTTTCTTTTTTATTTATTTGGCATAATAAAAGTTTATTTAAAAAAGAGGTCAACTTAAAATCTATTTTTTTTTCTCCTTCAAACAGATGTATAACTCTCTCTTGGATTTTTATTTATTCCGTTTTATCAAATTCAATAAAAAAAATTTTTTTTTATCAAATCTGTAATTTGGTAGTTGTTACAAAAAGGAAAACTTAACAGTTAACAAATTAATGTATTAAATATCTTATCGATTAAAACAACAATATACAATGTTCATTATAGGATCATCGTGGAGATTGATGAGGTTGGGTAACATACTGAATCGTTAGATAACCACCATCAGAAACCTGGAAGCAATGGACGGCTGTTTCGTACTAATTATGAAACAGCTATCATATGCTAACTAGTGGGGAAAGTTTTAGGGTTTTAGTAAGAAGCCATGACTGGTGGGAGTTTGACCGTGTCGATTGTGAGACAGTTACCTAATAAAGACAATGAATGAGGCTGTGCAATATATTAGATAAATAGAAATAAGATATTATTACCACTGAGTGCTGACTTAATATTCTAGAAACTAGTGTTTTTGGGAGTGAGACCGAAGGTCCTTGCTTTTTTATCACGTGTGAGCTCATGGATGAGAGCACTGATGAGTCCCACATTGGGACGAAACAGTCATTCGGTGATTCCAGATTTCTAATGGTAGTTAGTCTACCAATGATCGATTCACGATTTAAATAAATATTGCAATGCTTACAAGTGCTGTGAGACACTTGGAAAAGATGTTTATTTGTTCTAAATTCAGCTGTGCGTTAACTACATATTGCATAAATTAAGTGTAAAACGTGACTATGAAGCTTTTTGAAGTTGTAGATAGTGTCACAAACTAACTTGATTCATCTAGTTTTTACTAGTATGGTATTATTTAACGAATAGGTGATCACTGTCACATCAGGAACAACATTCTTAATCCTCACATGCCTGAGTTATTATTCAACAGTTTTTAGTTATGAACTGATATTAACTGGTAAACCGTTTCGAAATAAATTTTACTATGTAGATATTGAATCTTATTCTACTGATTATTAACAATATACACTCATGATGCAACACAATGATTGAGTCTATGATGTTTTTAGTGGATTGTTGTTCATCGAGTCTTACAGGTTGATTCATTCTTTGAATGCATTGAGTTTGAGAGTGTCATTTCTGACCTAGTTCAGCAGATCGCATGAAGTTCGATGTTCAGCTCGTCACTTTAATGGCCTGTGATTCGATTCCAGTTTGGATGAATGGTCGAGTTTCCGAGTATGAAGTAAAAACCGCCCTTCCATTTCCCTACATCATACTTAGGCAAACCGTATTTGTGCGATTACAGTCATGAGAAGCTAAAAATGGTTTCGCGGATGAATATTTCATGCGTCCATTGAAACAGACGGACATGAGAACGCAAAGCGTCTGCGCAAAGAGAGGCGAAGTGGAGAAGGCGAGTAAGCCAACTCTCCTATGCACTGAAACATGACTACGTTTTGATAGTCAGGCAATGATAATAATCTAGGCATGTAATAGACAAGTAATCAAGCAAACCCGCACACACACACACAATTATACAATGGTCGATACCATCATTGATTTATGACAAACATCAAAAATGATCGATACTATTGTTGAATAATTGAAACGACTAATCATTAAAACTAATCAATATAAGGCGCTATATGTTTGTATATGATGAAATGCATATGACATTCAGACAATTAAATCAACAAACTGAATAGTGTTCATTGATAAACAAAAGTTAAACTTGAAAAGGGAAACAACAATTATTCAGTCATTGCCCGATTGACGTAAAACAAACAATCAGTTATTATCAGTCTTTCGACTTGATCATCGTCAGACATACATACATGATGACATAAGGTTTCGTTTTTTACGACTTAATGTCGAATATTCTGTTCACGAAATTCGTTCTTCAAGTCTTTTAAACTGTCAACAAAAGGATGATTTTTTTTCTGCTTCTAAGCACTCATTACTTCATGTCTATACTATTTGAGGGATGGACTGGTTGTGAGACACTTGATTATAGTTTGTTTATGATACTCTGAACAGCTATCTCCTTAAAATGAGATGACATTTTATTATCGATTTCCAACTTTTGGTGACTTAAAGAATGTTTTCAACTCAATTAGTGAAAAAAGTGCAGTGATTTGTCAGACAATAGAAAACTAATCTCATTCAACTGTTGAATTTGAAAATATGTTTAGTTGTGTGGAATTTTTCTGTGAGTTTGATCTTCCTATGAGTAACTGACAAATACGTAAAATCAATTTTATGAAGCTTACAAACGCATTGATTGTGCCTATTGTACAGATCAAATACTTATCACTCGATAACTTTCACAATCGGATTGTGGAGATTGTTGAGTTACTTTTCGAAATCATGAATCGATCAGTGTTAGACTATCTTGGTTAGAAACCAAGGAGCACTGGCAGCTTCTTTCATCCTGGTATAGGGATCAGCAGTCAGATCTATGATGTGCTCACTAGTGACTAGCTACGTGAGGAAGTTTTTCCGAGTTATAGTGAGAAGCCGAGACCAGTGGAGTTCAAACCTGTCTGGTGTGAAGTATTTACCTACCAAAGACAATGGTTGATGTTGCGAAAAATCCTTAGATTGATCGAAGTTAGACATTAACACCGTTGGATGCCAACGCACTGGTCCAGTAGTTAATCGTTCGCTCACAAGACCGAAGGCCCTGTGTTCAACTCTCACGAGCAGAGATTGTAGATGCGCACTGCTGATAAGCCCAATAACAGGATGAAACGACTATTCACTGCTTCCAGGTTTCAATTTAATTGTTGAAAAAAATCTATAATTTCCCAGACAAAAAAATAATCTCATTCAACTGTTGAACGTGAAAATCAATTTTGTTATAAACAATTTTTCTGAGAGTTTGAGCTTCTTATGAGTAACTGACAAATATGTCTCGTTGTGATGAAGTTTCGTTCTCTGACAGCCAAATATAAGGTCAAGAAACAGATCAAGGAGGGGGATGCAATCAAATTCAGGATTTCAAATAACAACAGGTTTAAGGTCAATGACAACCAATCTAAATCGAGGTCAACAGAACAAGCTATGGGTCAAACGTGGAGCAATTCAAAAGTTTGTGCTGATGATGTTATGGTTCAGAAGAACAAAACATGCTACACAACCGAAACACCCAGCTCAGAGAATGAAACTCTGGCACAATCATCCCCTTGAGCTACAAATGTTCACCACCATCTTAGTACGTCTAGTTCTAAACAAAATCATATATCTGTAACATATTTCGATCAATGTTAGATTACTACGGTTAGAAACCTAGAAACACTGGACGTCCATTTCGTCCTGGTATGGCATTCATCAGTAGTTTGTCAGTCTTCATACTGGATCATCGTAATATATTATTTCATAAGGCCTTTCTTTTCTATCTCAAGTAAACTGATTTTCGCAAAATTCTTTATTCAACAGTGTTAGTAAATATTTTTCAATTTGTCTATAATTCGTTTTAACTAGTCACGAACAGAAGTAAATAGTTCGACCTCAAAAGAACAGAAGAACAAATAACGAGTTTACAAACTATTGGACATTGAAATGTTGACATTGAGCAAAAAAAGAAAACAAAACACACACTAATATATTCGTGTATATTCCATAGAATAAACCGCAAATGGAAAAAAAATAAACTGAAACTGTATCTTTCAAACTCTCGTAAGTGTTTTAAGGTTGATGTGGGAGGCGGGGGGTTGGTGTAAGCGGCAACAGTCAAGGTCATTTTCAGTTTTTGCCCGGTTATTTTAAAAATGACGAAATAGATGATGAATAAGAAAGGTGAGCGAAAAAAAAAAGAAAATTAAAAAAAAATTGGTGTCAACTTTTCAAATTTAACCTTAATTATTCTTTTGAAATGAATGTCAAAATGACTGATACAACCAACGTCAGTTGAACCCTGGAAATTCATTCAACCATGCCAATTCGTTTATTTTGCACAGATTTATAAAAACATATTGAAATCATATATATTTATTACAAAAAGGAAAAAGTATTAATTTATTATGAAGAAAAAGATATGCCCTATTTTAAAGCTGAGAGTATATGATCACAATGTTACAGTAAAACTTTTCACGAAAAACGAATTGTTCGAAACTTGATATATGTTGGGGATTTTATGAGAAAACAAATCTCTGCTAATCATTTGTATGAATAAAAGTTTGGTGGGTGTGCATTGATTTCGATTTTGTGTTTAAACTACTGATTAATATTATATAAAACTTATAAGACACAACAGATTTGATTAAAGTTTTTGGTAGTCATAATATTTTAAATTACTTCGCTTGATCTTTTACTGTATGCGGTGGAAACTTGAAGAACTACGACAGACATCATCTAGGAGATGTAAGTTTTCATTTCACGATTGTCTACAAAAAAATATTTCGGATCCGTTGGCCAGACACTATCAGTATCAATTTACAGGGAGAAAACAACATACCAGATTCCAGTCGAGGAAGAAATTAAGAAGTGGATAGGAAATATATTGAGGAACGGACCCCAGTGCGTCAAAAAAGAAGCCTATACTTGCAAATCGTCAAAGACAAAGGAAAAAAAGGAGGTCAAGGAACATTTCAGTCGAGAAATAAAAGTTTACACATCAACAACAATTAGAAAGAACTAGAAAAGAAAGCCCAGGACAGAGTAGGTTGAAAAATGCTGGTTGGCGACTTATGTTCCATTGAGCATAACATGCGTAAGTAAGTAAGTAAGTAAGTAGATAAGTAAGTAAGTAAGTAAGTAAGTAAGTAAGAGGGTAAGTAAGTAAGTAAGTAAGTAAGTACTTATCTTGATCTACTTACTTCAATATATAGTGAATTGTCAGTAATGCGCGATAGAACCGTTCACTTCAAACGCCACTTGTCTGTCGAATCTAAATAGATGCTCACTTGTGCAATGCCATGAAGGTTAATTCATTTCTATCGGTTGTTTGAATTTATGTTTACGACTGTAATTGTTCAGTCGCTTTCTGGCAAGTGTGTACATTCTCTGTGGATTTTCTCGTCCAAAATAAAAAGAAATGTGCTTTCTGTATTCTGTTGCTAACCATTATTTACCTCTGGTAATAATGTTTGTAACCGGAAGGCAATATCAAGGCAATCCTCACAAGATGCATATATACGTCAAATGGACAGACAGATACAACGCAGAACTTGGTACATATGTACATCAGTTCAGTTTGCCATACCACGTCGGCACAGAGACGTAACTGTCAGTTCAAATCCAACAGTGATAGCGATGGTAGAATTATTAGCAGCAATAGAGAAGATTAGGGAGCGAAAATATGATTCGAAAAGTATAATTCACTGAGATAAATTTAGAAGGAGAAAGATAGAGATAATGATAAAATTCAGAAGGTTAGAATTTGAGAGAACACAATGAATGAATGTACATGAATCATTGCAAACGATTCTGATCCATCTCATTCAAGGTCTCTAACCATCGGTGAATTTCGTCTCGTGAACCCCAACCACCTAGCCTACATCTACCAACATGACTCAATCAACCTGTCAGTGACATCATGCATTTCTTCCATGTTTTGGTCTGACCGCCCCTAACTTTCTTCCAACCTGATCGTACACCGCAAAACATAGCTCGTCGAGGCAGTCGGTGGTTGGGCATACGCAACACATTTCCCAACCACCTCAAATGATGAAGTTTCACCACTTCATCTATTGATTTGCCATCCCTATCTAGAACTCGTTTCCTAACGATAGCATTGTTTACTCGGTCGTCCCAGGATATACGAGCAATGCTTCGGATACACCTATGATTGAAGACTAGTAACCTACGAAAGTCCTCTACCCTTAACGGCCATGTTTCGCATCCGTATAGTAGGACGGAGCGAACTGCTGCACGGTACACTCGTTCTTTATTTAGCAAACGGATATCTCGCCTGACGATTCTAAGGTTAGATTTCAAATGAAGTCTGCAGAATTGAATCTCAGTAAGAATTACATTTTTCGTGTTTAAAAACACAGGAAATGTTTAAAACAATTGCATTATCACATGATAGTAGTCTGTTAGTGTTACAATGTGTCACATCCTTATTTGATAACAGCAATCTAACATCAATGTGTTTATGGTACTCGGATATATCGTGACAGCGTGAAGTCTCAAAACCTGACCATGTGATTAACATTGGAAACATTTTAATCTCTAGATATTCGGATTTTAGAATACAAGCGCTCATTATTCAAGAAATATTTTTGTTTAATGCTACTGTTTAGGTGTTTTATTCATACACTGAACTCTATGATTAATAAATATTTGAAATATTTTGATCCTCATGCATAAACCAAGAACTTGGATTGAAAATATCTTCACCCTTTTTTGTTCTGGTGGCACATTTACGGACTCAGCTACTAGCAGTATTCGAACCCGGGGCCTTCAGTCTTGCGCGCTAACGCTTGACCTTTAGGACTCTGAGCCAGCCGGTAACCAACAGTGTTAATGTTTAACCCTGATCAATCTAGTGATTCTCGCGCAACCTTATTCATTGTCTCTCGACAGAGATGAAATCCACTAATCACGTCCGAGAATTTTCTCACCAGTAAGGATATTTTATTTAATTTGCATTAAAGCATTAAGGAGATCATTGTTTTTACACATTGAAATCATGAATGAATCATACTCAAGTGATCAATAAGAAACCTGAAATTACTGAAAGACTGTCGCTTCATCTTGATTTAGGACTCAGCAGTGTCTGTATGCATTCACAAATGTTCACTTTCAAAAGAAGTGAGTTACTTATCATGTGTGTTCTAATGAATTTTCAATTTCGATCACTAACCGCTTAAACTCCCCTGTATGCAAGTATTTATTTCATATAAAAATGATTTGTAATAAAATTTATACATATAACTTACCATTTCGGTACACCAAATTCAATACTATTAGTACGTTGATTATGTGTTAACATATCTTGCCGATTTTGTAACATCATTGACACTCTTCTGATGCGTGCAGAAAGTTCTTTATCATTATTTATGTTAGGTTTATTGATTTGTGACAATTTTGGTACATGAAGTGATATAGAAGTAGTTGTAGTAGTAGTAGTAGTAGTAGTAGTAGTAGTAGTAGTAGTACTAGTGGTATTCATTGAATCATCCGGGTGATTTTGATTGAAATTTTCTGTATATGCAATATTTTCACTGTATTGATGCGGAATGTCTAAATTTG